AAAAAGGCAACAACATTAAAATGATTGCAATATTGCCAAAGCAGTGTTTAAATATAATAATGCCAATTTTACAAACTTGTTTAAGCTTTAAGTGCAACGCATTTATTAATTCTCTGATGTACTTCGTTTACTCTTGTGTTGTGTTTTTTTTTAAACTTGAACACAGTACAGCAAGGCTCAGCGTTGTATGCTTTGTGCTGATGTTTCCTCAGCAGCTGTGTGTGAGCGTGATGCTTCGTGTCTGCGCTGTGCGTCTCACTAGACTCTCTCTCTCTCTCTCTCTCTCTCTCTCTCTCTCCCTCTCTTTCTGTGTGGCTCAGGGGACTCTGGCTGGCTGATCTTCATTATCAGCCCTAGCTTAACAATGTACTGGATGCACTTCCCACATGAGTGCAACTAACAAATCCCCACAGAGCTGAATGAAGGCAACAATGTGATGAAATACCTTCAAACAACCACTGAGCATGGAACACTGAGCTATGCAGAGACAACTCACACTGCCCCGGGCGATTCCACAGGAGTGCGCCTGTTGCCAAGCAAAATTAGACAGCAACTGGGACATATTATTCTCCTAAATTGGCCATGTACAGCACTATTAAGGACCATAAATCTCATGTTTGATTAGCTGGAAATACTTCATCACACAAAGCCAGTGCATTAGCACTCTGGCACTCAAAAATCCAAGCTATGTCATTTAGAGGTACGGCATGATGCTTCACAGGGTAAAAGCTGTCATTGTGCTACGTGAACACAGAGAGCATTATTGGGATTAATAATGCTGTTAGCATATTTTTCCAAACATGCACCACATTACTTTTAAGAGAGAAATCTCAAATGCACAAAGGCATGGAATCCACAAACTCCGGCTGTACAACTCTGAGTGAATCCAAACGACTGATATCATTTCTCTGCAAACTCTGCACTCAGTTTTTTTTTTTTTCGGAGGGCAGTGCAGAAGAATCTTAATCATCTGGTAGCTTTAAAACAGATTGGCTGTACTATTACTATGTGAGTGCAGATCTCTGACGAGAGAAAGTCAATACAAGCTGCTGGCGACTAAATGAAGATGCAGGAGCGCGGCCATGTTTCTCAATCAGCGTAAGGAGGTTGTCACAGCAATGGAGATAAATATAGAGTGAAAAAACTGTGGCTCTCAGTCTCGCTACAACCGATCTGTAAGACTGAGGAGAGGAAGCCTCTTCTGTCTCCTCTTTGCCTTTTTCCTACAGTTACATTTGTGCTACTGCCTCCCGCTGGCCAGTCGACTGCCAGTGTAAACTCAGACCAACATGAGGGGACAGGCAGACTAACAGCTGAACACAGCTCTACAGTGATTAAGATAATAAAAATAATAATAAGCAAATGGTACTTATTTATTAATTATTTCATGTACATACATTTGTATTGGGAAAAATTTCAAGCAAGTAAACCGATGCCACACATCACTGCTCTTTTAGTCACTGCTACTTTGCAGCGCTTGTCCCTAGACAAGCCTTTAAAATGCACAATACATAATGTTTCATGCACTATATGTCATCTTCCTTCAGTTTGTTGTCCTTGTCTTATCATATGTCCACTTCTGTGAAAATGGGAATAATCAGTTACAATAAAGCTCAGTAAAACTCCATAAATAAAAGATTCACTTACTTAATTAATCCCTGATGTAAATTCAGGTTTTCCACTCTGTTTTTGAGAGACACGCTTCTCACACGCAAACAGGACCTATGGACATGCATTAATGGAGAGACGTCAGAGTGGGGCTGCTACACACTGCTACACAGGGAGCGCGCCAGAGCTTTTGGGGGTTTTATGCCTAGGCAGTACTCGTTAAGTGACCTGGCACCTCTCCAGCAACCAGATTTCGGCCCGCACCGGGACTTGAACCTGCCAACCCAAGTCCCTGTGTGTAACATATACCCTAAAACTGATTCTAATTATTGGCATGATTCTTTTTGGTGCTTTGATTTTTCTATTCTAATATTGTTAGGTATTTCTATGATTTGAAATGTAGGCCTAACCGATGGTGTATTTATTTCTAGGATGTTAGAATTGATCTTTTACAGAGCCAGATGAAAAAAAAATCTATTTTTAATGTACATATGCTCACCTTTGTTATATTAAATACCATGGTCTGAACAGTCTGTTATACAGATCAGTATATTGTAACTCCTCGAAACAACAGACTACATTAGCTCTAGGTAATCAGCAGATCTGCTCTCTTAGAAGAAGGGCATCCTGTCTACAGTTTGTGTGTGTGTGAGTGTCTTAGCTAGCTCTCTCCCATTCGAGCTGTAAGACAGAGTCCTACTGCTGATGTTAGATTAGAGGTGAGACGTCTAATCTAAGTGTAATCAGCTGCTGCATCTGATCCTCCGCTCCACACCATCTCTCTCAACAGGCCCAAACAGAAACCCATCTTGCGGCAATGCATGCCTCGCAGAGCTAAAGGAAGTGAAACCGTGTATCTTGTGTCCACCATCGATGTGTGAAAAAAACAAAAAAATTGAAATCCGAGAAAACCTTTTAGCGCTTGATCTTATGCTGTCATCTCTCTTTTTTTTGAAAGAGACAGTTTGAGAAAATATATCAAGTGCTACCAAAAGTCCATAAAACAGAGCTTATGTAAAACTGTCAGGGAAACGTACAGGAAAACCACAGCTGACTTGTTGCTGAGAATTATGGCCCTGTGGTTGAAGAAAGTGCTGGCATGGGGCCGCCCCTCATGCGGATAGCAGAAAGAAGGGAAGACAGAGAGAGAGAGAGAGAGAGAAAGAGAGAAAGAGAATAGAGGGTGACAGTAAATCTACATCAGGTCTTCATAGCTAGCAGCCTGAATGGGGAGAGGACATCACTGTGATTGGCACAATGATGTAAATATCTGTTTTCATCTAGAACACTTCACCTTGTGATTGCTCAATGATTAGTCCAGTCGGGGGGTGGAGGTGTAGGAAAGAAAGATGGGGAGAGGAAGAGAGGAGGGGAGAGGAGAGGAGAGGAGAGGAGAGGAGAGGAGTCTGCTGCCAGTGAACAGCTGCCCCTGTAATTTATATTGATGAGGGGACAGGCATGGCGGGGAGCTTCCAGCAGTTTGATCACTCAGGCAGAGTGGGGAGTTAGTCAGAGACACGGCCCATCCCTGTGGTCTGGGTTGGACTGGGAAGACCTAAAACACACACACACACACACACACACACACACACACACACACACACACACACACACACACACACACACACACACACACACACACACACACACACACACACACACACACACACACACACACACACACACACACACACACACACACACACAAGGCTGCCAAGCTCACATTACGAGTGGCAGTGTGAGGAAGCCAATGTTTTCACTGGGAGAGCAGAAATAGATCTACAGCCTGACTATAACCATGTAGGGCAGAGCAATCTCCCTCATTATTACTCCAGCAGCCATATAATCACCAGGCTCCTCTGAAAAAGACCTTCACTCCACATTCTCAATGACCATTAACTGGCCCTTGAACTCCTCCTTGTGCACACAGCTCTGACGAGCTTCTACAGCCGCTTCCTGTCTGCCAGGCACAGCAATCAACCACTTGTTAAGGGGCTTTACTTTGATTTCCTCACATGGACGAGATTTGAATATTTCTCACTGAAATGAGACGGCGTAGTCCAGTCTCTGCCCATGGCTTTGAACCCAAGACTCTTAAATCATGCTCTTTGATTTGAGCCCCCTTCCGGTGAAGAGGTGCTTATCGCCGCGCTAATTAAGATAGCGGGGTGGTGAATTGCGGGTCAAAGTGTTTCTGTTTTACCTTGAAGATATCCTGATACAAACACTAACATGCACACGCATACACCCACACACACACGTAAAAAAAAAAAAATTCCATAACCCCTCCAGACAAGCAAATAGCTTAACACACAATCATGCTGCTGTTTTGACGGGGATGTTTGAGTAAGGTAGAGCTGTCTAGCAAGGAAGATCATATCCTTTGCCCTGCTGTCTGATGTAAGAGAGAGCCGGGGTGTTTTACAGGGTGAGAGGCAGCTTCTCACAATCTGAAACACTCCGACCGCTCTAACAGAAAAGCCCTCTGGCCGTCCCTCTCCACGAGTTTCATCAGAGTGATCAGAGCGAAAGGATAGCCTTCAGGGCTAGTTTTTTCACATTCACACAGTGTGGTATGAACACACACGCACACATGTACACACAGACATAGACACACTGCTGCACACAACACAAAAGCATTTTTTTACATGCCTTTTCGATTGCACTTCACACGTGTCAAAATACAGAACAAATCTGTTGGAAATCATTGATTTCTACAGGTTTGACTGTTCATCAATTCTTCATGAGCAGTCTGAAATTGAAAAGGCAGCCGTGGTTAGACAGGCCTGTGTACTATTGTTGCAGTGCACAAAGAAGTCTTGCATCTCACATGTGAGACATGTGCCACATAGTATGTCTCTATGTTTCAATTTAAGTGAAAGATACAGATACAGTGATCTGTACTTGAAGAATACAAACTCTTGGTAGATAATGCCGCCTCAGAGGTTGCAAACCAGCACACAACACCACATCCGCGTTGCTCAGCTGCAAGGACTTGCAAAAAAACAAAGAAGTGCTTGAGCACACTGTCTGCCTCTACAGTGCGTGATTATCAAACAGTCATAAGACTGCATAGCATTTTAATTTCCTCTCTGGGGCTTTCATCATCTTCTCTCCAGGCGGGAGAAATACAAAATAGTGAAAGAAGATGGCACAGCTCTAATTGAAGGTATTGATTTATTACAATGCTAGTCAGGCAACAATATGGGCACTGATGAAAGAAGAGTCTACATAGATTTAAGATGTTCTCTACTGTTCACACTACAGTGCAGCTCAGTTGTTTTCCAAGGACAGTTTGTGCAGATCTTGTGTAAGAATTTTATGACATTATTACAGCAATCAATTGAAGTGCGACAAAAAAGAAAAGCAATAAAAAAAATGGTTGTACTCACAGGTATGTGTCTTCTTTGTTACTGAGATACCTGTAAAGTGAAAACAAAGAAATTGTGAAAAACAATGCAGATGAAAACTATAAAGACTCAACACAAAGAACAGTCAACATAGAGCTCAGCGTATAGTTAACGGATAGTGATGTTGCTGATAAGGTTAACCCTGTGGTCCAACAGACTGTCACTGTCCAAGGTCACGGAAGTGGCAGGCCCTGGGCAATTATGTGTGTAGGCTGGTGTCTGACCTACTGCCATGCTTCGTCAACATCCATGCAGAGGTGGTTGAAAAGCTATCCTCTGGGGGCAATGAATGAAAAATTATACTAAAACAAACAACATTTGGAATGCTAATGTGTTGAGCAGCCACACTGATTGGACCTGAGAATATGACTAAGCCTGTGGCCCAGAGAGGGACGGTGGCATGTTGACCTCAATGTTAGTAAGTTTATCCCCTATTTAAACAGGAAGCCTCATTGCAATCAGGGAAGGGTGTGTATAAAACAAATGTGAAAGCATAAAACAAGAGTACAGTTTATGTACGCAGCATCATTTTAGTAATAAGCAAAAACATGTTACACTTACAAGTTAAAAAAAAAATCCTTTAGATGGAACAACACAGGTTGGGGATGTACATGATATAATTTTTTCAGATGATCGTGTTTCAAATTGGCATTAAAAAACTTGAAATTGAAAATGTGGAACACATTACAATAATATCTGGTGTTCTGCATTGTCTTATGACAGAGCAATGGCTGGTTTCCAAGTTCTGACCAACAGATAACGAGCACTCAGATCCCATTAATATGCTACTATTTATTAAATATAAAATGGCATGTGAAAAGGTAACAGGTTCCTATCACCTTGTTACACAGAGTTGTAAACTACTACTGAGAGACAAGCCTATTCACAACACAAAAATTCAATTTCGACTTCAATAATTGTTGGTCAGGAGTTCTTAATGTGTCTTCTTACAGTGTGATGGCCAGTGAGATTCATAAATGTACGTTAAAATGCTATAAGATAGTACTATATTCTTTGTGTGCATTAGAATATAGGACAGAATAGTTTCTTTAATAAGTTGTGACAAACAAAGAGGTCCTGAAACAGACCCCTGTGGAACGCCTTAATAAGCTCTAAAAGCATTTCATTATGTTCCCAAAGATGTAAAAATTTCCTACCGCACATCACCAAAATATAACTTAAACAAGTACATCTTCCATCATCTCAAGTGTTTTGATACGTATGTAAAACCGAAACCCCGTGGGAGTAAAGTACCAGAGCGCTGACACAGTAACGGAGCTGTTTCTGTGCATTGACATGGTCTAAATGCAGCTTGCTATGGCTGTTATGTAACCTGTTTACAAGTCCACTGAGATAATTATTATAATTGGTGAGACAACCTGAGCAGCCTCCTGTAAATTTGTAATTCTTGTGGATATAAAAGTGAGGTTGAAAATATTAGAAACAGTGATATAAATAAATGAGCACTGAGATGTAGAAGATGGAGAACAGATTTCACATTTGAAATCTTTGAACAGTCTGTATGTAATGTTATTTTCTGATATAAAGCGTTATCGGGAGAGAAGGTTTGATCATGTTTAGTTGAATTATGAACAGTGATGTGTGTAACTGTGAATTAATGTCCAGTCTGACCAGTGTGAGTCAGCCCTAGTTGAGGCCAAGGTGAAGCTGGGCAGTTGATGCTCAAGCTGTCCTCCCTCACCCTTTCGGGTGTCAACTCATCGAATGAGCTGTGTTCAGTTCTTGCTGTGGCTCCGGCTGCTTCTCCTGTCTGCAACATTGCTCTAATGCCCCAGGAGCCTGATGCGGACGAGTGCACAGCCAGCCGTGGTCCCCAGCGGCCTTCTGGATGCTTATGTTTTGCAGGGCGATAGCACACTAATAGATCCCACTTGTCATGCGGAAGCAATGGCTAATTTTTCTACACTACATCTGAAACTCTGGGGACGGCTAGCTGACATGATTCAATAACTCTGTGTGAAAAAAGGCGTCTGGCTGGAGATAACAATGTTTCAGATGTGTTTGAGGGGGAACGAGTCAAAGAGCAATGAGGGGGAAAACAAATAAGCCCTTCAGCCTCCTGTAGACATACACACAGAAACATATAACTGATATCAACTCCAGTGAGCAGAAAGAGGGGAAACAGTCACCTAGAGGCCGGCAGTCTTTGATGGAGCTAAAGCATTGTTCCAGTGCTCGGGGCCTAAAACTTCTGTGCTGTCCAACTGTGATATTACGCAAGAAGAAATAAGAAACACTAATCCAGTCGTAATTCTTCACCTCAATCAAATTACATTCAACCCAGCATGAGTTGACGGTCCATTAAACGGCAGTGGTTTCAAGGTGCTGTAAAAGCATTAACCAGTTTAATGGCTCTTTGTTTTGCTCAGTAAGAAAATTTATTAGATCATGTAAGGAATGAAGTGGGTGTGCTTTGTGGAAACTGTCAAAGCAGAGGCAACAAGCTCCTTTTTCCTGGCTTTTTTCTAACCTTAGAGACTACTATCAGAGACACGGGAAAAAGGCATTCAATGAATATTTAAGGGGAGTCTGGTGACTATAAAACAAATCTAAAGGTGTACTATTTTACGTGAGATATACAAAACACCTAGAAGGTGCAAATACTGAAACACAATTCAGATTAAATCTATTGTCTGTCATCTTCTTGAGTGTTAGCACCTCGTGTTTTTTGTCCGACCTCAGAACTTTAAAAAACAATAACTTGCCTTGCTGAGTGTTTATGACACAGGAAGCAGAAAAAACACCCCTCTGTCTGAGGGTGTGTGTACAGTTTGTGTCTTTGCTTTGCACAAGGTTAGCCACACAGACCACACTGATAATAATCACAAGCTTTTCTGCTGTCACTGGCTCCTTTACCGACGAAGTCAAGACGCAACAGTTCTATCTTATCATGGTGTAACTCCCCGACTAAACAAAACGTCTATTGCCTCACTGTGGTGAAAATGCTTAATAGAAAAGCTGCATTAATTCAAGTCTATTTAAGGAGGGGTGGGCACTGTAAAAGTACCTTGGGGAATTTGTCAGTGTAAACAAATCGTTTTGTTCACAGGACTTTGAAAATAATTGTTATTGTCCTTAGGGACTCAAAAACATGAAAATTTGCAAGTTTGTTTTGAAACCTGCATTGTTTAATTGTTCTGCAGTCGCTGCCCTTTGCTGGGAGGTTTGTACCACACAACCCCGAGGCTTTTGACACGAAAGTTAGTCCTCAACAGCTCAATTATTCCTCTTCAGCACCGCTAGTGGTCAAACAACTCCACAGTTAACTGTTGGTAGGTTTGTTATTAAAGTTAACAAAACCTGCTACACAACAATAAATCAGAACCCAGGATTAAAAACAAAACTAAAAATAAAAAATAAATCTCTTCATATGTTGATATGCTGATGAGAGAAAACTGATTCTGTCTTTTACATCAAACCAGTGCTTCCCACACATGGGCCGACCGCCCAGGTATATTTATGGCCGGCAAATTATACCGACCATTTTTGGAAAAAAAAAAAATTCCTCTTCCACACACCTATCCATATATGAGTGATAAACTTGTACAGTAGACGATCTCCCCTCGCACTGTACTCGTCGCATACCTGCAGGTGATCAGACACAGAGAGAGGTATCTGCTGTTGCAAGTCTCCTCAAATGTGAGCCTTCTTAAGCTGTTGTTTTAGACGTTTTGTGCAACTGGTTGAGCTGATGTCATTCTGCACTCTCTTAGTTTTGCCCCTGGTCGCCACCACCCAACCACCTCAAGTATCCTGATGGGAAACACTGCAAACACTGGTTTGGCCTGTTGCTATGCAGGTTAGGGGAAGCAGAAGGGGTGGCGAGAGGGCCCACTTCCTCCTCTATGTGTCATTCAGAGCCCTGTGATTGGTGGTGGGAAGGGGAAGGTGCCACAACGCCAATGGATGAGTCAGGCAGTGAGAAAGAAGGAGTTAGCTCTGGGCACTGACATTGGCAATGCCTGCCAGCTCGTGTCTTCTCTGCTGGATGGCAGGTTCAGAGGTTAGTGTGGAGGTGAGGCTCTCCTTGGCTGACAAACAGGCTGCTGTAAACACACTTACAACTTCAGGATCGCCTTTTAGAAACCTGTACATGTGGGCATTATTTATATTAAAGGCATGTCTGCTGTTAGTGTTTGAAGTTGCGACTGAACTGCAATCTCAACATTACCATTTGTCACAACGGAAGGAGGGACAGTTGTCACTGGCATCCTTTGATCACTCATACTTTCCCTTGCACCTGTAAACATACAGCATATGTTCTCACGAGACTTCAGCTATACTATAGAAAGCAAAAGATACTTTGCAGGCAACTTGAGGTTAAACCTCCACCGCATCTTTCTGCAGGGGGGGCACACATCCTGTAAACATGCCACTTAGACAGGAGGAGAGCGAATGTGGGGTTTGGCAGCTTCAGTGCTGCAGGAGCACGGTGCCACTGCAGGCGACTCAAAGTGACAGCGCTGTAATGAAGTCTGAGGCGCATGGCAGGCTGTACGTCATAATTTCAGGTTCCTTAAAGCCTGACAGGGAATGATTATCATGGATGGTTATTGTCACCCTGCCTCCCTGTGAGACGAGGCGTGCTCTGGGGTTGTTGCACCGTGACATTCAAAGTTACAGTCTCCTTCATATAATGGAGCTGTCCTCTCAGCGCGCTAATGGGAGCGATCCATTTAACCTGTGCCAGAAACACACAGACGAGGAAGTTCCTAATGCGAGGCCTCTCCCGTGGGGACGTCACACTCCCCCCCTGGCTGCTCCCTTCCTGCTGCTTGATTCATTGACTGGCGCTCCTCACTTATCCTCATTCACTGTTCAGTCTGGGGAGACAGGGAGGCTCGCTTCCTGCCGCCTGCTCCACATGCTGCCGCTGCACGCCCGCCGCACACAAGGACATAGCTGGCGCTACAAACCCTGCTGCAGGAGGAGCCATCAAGGGCCCAGCGAAAAAGGCCCAGCAAGGACCCGGTGAGACCCCCGACAAGGGA